AAGAGTACCCCCCCCCCCCCCCAACAGCATATACACAAGCACCTGTCGCTTGCGCCGGCCCCGTCCCAGCCCAAGGTAAAGCTCCTCTCTCCCCTACCCACGACTCCAAATCTACAGTCTCCTTGAGGCACCACGTCCACGCGAAATTCCCCGCCCGCCCGACCAAATCAATCCCTAGCCCTCCTCTGGTTGGGACCAAATTGTGTCCGGATGGTATCCACGATGCTTGTCCAGCAGTATCGTCATCGCCATGCGCTCGTCGACTTCGACCCCGTTAGCTTGTCCATGCCAGCCTTCTTGATATTTTGTCAGTAACGTATCGTTGGATGTTCGCCTTAGGCATTAGATCACGAAATTTGCAGGGGCAAGGTAACAGCACAGCAGTTGGGTTTCCTGTTAGCTGACGCCATGTATCCAACTCACTACCCAGGGCCTCCCGCACGACAGGTGCATTGTCAACATTCATTTCCGAGAAAATAATGTCGCAACAGTAAAATATATACTCGCACGAGGCCCCACGGCGACGTTTACAAGCTGGGGGAAGGGGTGGGTGAAGAGGGTTGGGGGGATGACGGCGTGCCTCGTTGCTACTGTTTCTCTTCCATTAGCGTCTCCGGAAGCACCCCTCATCCCACTTTATACCCTGTACCATACGTTACTCGGTACTGCACCGAATCCTGGCATTGTTGACGTGTTTTTCGAAAGGCGATTTCTTTCTGGAGGCATAAATTTACGCCCGAATAGCCGATATCTGTTCAGTTGTAGGTGGGTCTAGGGTGATGGTGTGAGGTGTCGGAAGGGAAGGATTGAAGCCCTTGCAGACGACACTGAATTCTCAACCTCTTTGGGTTTGTGACCCAGCCCGAAAGATAACCCAGGAGTAAAAGCAGACCGCACAGACCAGTTCCGGAGCATTGAGCACGAAAAACAAGTTCGGCTCTGCCCTGCTGTACCTCAGTCAACCTGTTTCATTGCTTCAGAACCAGTGCTAAAACGGCGTTGCTGAAGAGGGGGGTTGTCTCAAGTTGGTTGTCTCCTTCAAAATCCTTCCGACGAAGTACGACAGGGTTTGCTCATCCCTACATTCTAGCTCCACGCAAGCTCCGCCCGTACATAGTCGACTCAAAGGTGGGCTACAAGAATATGTCGTACACCAGTAGCTTGTTTCGAATCTACATTACATCGCCGTAAACGAACGCTTCTACACTGCTGGTGCTGTGACCACGCCAATAGAGACCCAACACAACTGAACCTAGTGCTGCTAAATGCCGGCAATTTCACGCGTTCTTTCACAACAACGCTTTGCACCGGTTGGCTCAAGAGGTATCACATCAGTCCATAGGTAACGCACATACCTGCACAGCAGCAGTAGATTCGCCAGGCACGTGTGCATAGAATGGTCCGTCGTTGGTGCCATGGGACACGAAGCTCAGCTCCTCCGCAACGCCAAACAGCACGGTGACATCGAAGGACGAAACTCGCAGCAATATCCGCCCCACGTTGGCGAAAGCGAACGAATCTTCGACCGCGCGCCAACGCCGTTGTATGTTCTTGCACATGATGCGATGCAACAGCAGCCAGCGTGTTCGATGAGAAACAACAACCAATAGTCTACAGATACAAGAGCGTAGAAGAACAAAGAGACGAAACAACCGATGGACCAATGCTGATGCCAAGTGGTACAAAGGTCGAGCCTCGGTAGAAGAGGCTGCCATTTGTAGCCAGTGCGACAACGGGAGGCGGATGTTCAAACAGTACCCGCACGGATGTTGCATAGGTACGGTACAACCGGAGCAGGTGTGTCAGTTCCCCACAGCAGCACACACCAGTTTACAGCAGTAGTACAGGAAAAGAGCACAAAGAACAGCAGTAGTATAAAGCAGAGGGCCGGGAAACCCAAGCGGAAACGGGTTACTGGAGACAAACAGGGCATGTCCGTCTCCCTCCCCCTCTGCCCACTTGCCTGGTAGTCGTCCTTGTGCTCTAGGGTAGACTATGTGCCAGCTGCTCCAAATCAGTTGTTGAACGGGTACTCCATCGATACAGCAGTACATCCATCCTCGAGAGTGTCGCCGCCTACAGATGTCCGCAAGGAAGCACGGAAGTATGTGCTCATCCCCATTTAGGTGCCGCGGCTCGAAAACAGCCTGCTGCGTCTTGGGAACAAGACCATGAACGAGCGTCGACATAACCACCCCTGTGCTCAGCCCTGTCCTGTCGCGTTGGGATCGCTGCTGTGTGCACCTCGTCTGGAGCATCGACTCTCGATCGAGAAAAAGCGCTGCAACAGGAGTCACACCGCGTTTTCTGCTGTCCACCATGACACAGACAGTTTCCAAGTTAGCTCTGCTGTTGCCTAGCCCTTGTGGTGCGGCTTGTGGCGCCCTTGGCTGGGGATGTAGTACCGATGCTCCAATTTGGAAAGCTTCCAAACGTTTGGAAGCTACTTGTTCCAAATTTTCGGGCCCACGTTCGTTCCAAATTTTTGAAAATCCGGAGGAGCGCCTCCGTACAACTTTGGAACTTTGGAACAAAAAATGACGTCATGTAGTGCCAGCGGGAATATAGAAAAATACACACTGCTCTACATCCGAAAACCACCATGAATCTCTCCCCACATCCTTTCACAGAGACACACATCAATAGCTCCACATACGTGCCCTCGCCCGAAAACAAAGACAGGAGGACAGCGAAAAGGGGCACTTCAAGCCCAAACAGGCCAGGATATCGTGGTATGCTGCATAGTCTATATATCCTCCAAATTCGAAAATCGTACATGTACACTCCCAAGATCCAGCACAGCAGTCATCATGTCAGCGGCTATTCTACACAGCAGCAGCCGCATAGACGAGGCCAACTAAACAGCAGGGTAGGTAGTAATGCATATCAGCATAGCCCCACACATACCCTCGCCCGAACCTAGAGAGCCACTGATGCAAAGGTAGGTGTGTGCTGGTGGTGTGTGCTTGCTTGCGTGCTTGTGGGAATTGTGGGAAAACCACAGGAGCTGTAGTGAGCCGGCACGACTCACATTGGGGAGGGGACAGCAGAACCAGCTTTGGGTCTACAAGCCCTCTCACTGGTCATTTTCACTGATCATTTGAATATACTGAAAATAGAATAGTTAGGCGGCTTGACGACTGATATTTTCGAGGTCTACAAGCCTAAACTGCGCTACTGGCCGCACCACGACCGCGCATCAACCCTTCAATGATCCTGCCTGTGCCCACCGCCCTGTCGCGGGCAGCCCTCATGGCCTATGAGTGGAGATAGCTGTTGCGTCTACAGAAGTACACTCGTCCTCTCTCTGCTGTACTTACTTCTGTCTCTCCCCGCACTGTCTCCGCCCCCTTTTTTTTGGCCGCAAAAAGAAAAAGAGGTAGTCTAAGACCCAAAAGGGGGTGGATGTTTGCAAGCGCTTCACGTACCGTACGAATTCCAGTGCTGAAGAGACGCGCTCGAATTATCGTGTCAACAGAAACCGAGGAAAACCCTAACCCGTCAAATATTCCACTAGGAAATGGCGGTAGTGTGGCAGCTGCCATGGTCCGGTTTCTTCGGCTGCGCGGGCGTGTGAGACGAACGGGCAATCAATTCAGATGGAAAAAGGCATGCATGGCACTCTAAATTCAAATGACACACAAAATAATGCTTTTCGGTCAATGCTCCAAAGAAATCCAGTTGTACCCGTTGGACGGCAGCCATTCGCCTCCCTGGGCAGGATGGTTCACTAGTCTATATAGATATAGCCCTGCACAGGGTCACACCTTGCCCAGGGAGTTCCGATTGCAAGGACACCCTCTAGGACACCCTGGGACACAGTGATTGGCAACCTTGCGTCCTGTCCGTACGGTGGCAAACGACATGGGGTTTGTTCGTACAGCAGTACATACATCATGTGTGATAACACGTACTTGTAGCTGAGCCCGTGAAAGGATCTAAGGAATGGCCCGCCAGCGGGGGGTTCGCAGCGAGGTATTTATTTTCTTCGGTAGGTGATTGATACCGCTCGACACTACACGCTGATTATGTGTCTCTTTACATGCTATGTATGTAAGGTAAGAACTGGAACTGGGAGTCAGCGTCACGGGGCGGAGACAGAGAGAGAGAGGTACATCCCCTGGTTTAACCTTGGTGTATCTGCTGTGTGGGCTGCGTGCAGTCTGCCCGGTTGTGGGCTGTGTGTTCGTGCTGGTTTTTTCACTACTGCTGTGTTTCTGTGTGTCCTTTTATTATTAGTATCGACCGCGCTACCCGGCTGACCAATGAAAAGACGTCAGTCTTAGTGCGGTTGAAAACACAAAACACTTCTATCTAGCATGAACTGGGACCCCGTGAGGGGACAGCATGGGGGAGGCTAAGCTATTCTTCGGATCAAAAACAGAAACAGCAGCAACAGAAGAAAACTGCACCCGTCTACCAAGGCTATTACCTAGTACTCGAGTTCGTTTAGGAATACTTTCACCAGCATCCTCCTTGTTTTCGCTCCCATCATTCTGATCCTCATTTTGACAAGAATCTCTGGGCAGTTCTTCCCTAGCCCTACGTTTCTTGTTGTGGGGAAGGTCATCTGGCTCAAACCCTTTGCTCCCTTCCACTTCTCCATGTTTTCCTGTTCCATGGTCGTCTTCGTCCTCCTTTCTTCCCTTTCCCTTTCCTTCGTCTTCGTCACTCCCAAAAGTATTACCCTCACTACTATCGTTGTCGCAGAGATCCCAACCGATTGGCCCTGGTGGAAGTTGGTCGATCAGTAGCCCATGACGTTTGAACACATCGCGAGTTCGCATCGACAGAAAACGAGCTAGCTCGAAGGTAAACCGTCTCCGAATCCTGTTAGTATGAAACGTTTTCAGGCGAACTAAGGCTCTTTCGTCTTCAAAATTCCCCCGGCAAAAAGCTTCGTGCGCCAAGTGGTTGGCGATAGCAACGATGAGTCGATTGGTGCCTTTGCCAAGACCACCATTCGTTGAAAAAGCAGCAGTAAGGAGGGTAGATCTAGACGGGTTGAAAGTTCCCGCATAGTGATTTGCCTTACTTGCAGCTCGATCTTCGAGGGCTGATCCTGGCTTAAGGATCGACTTGTCGATGCTTCGACCTGCTGATGGGTTGACGATTGTTACGTCGATCAGAATGGACTTGGTGCAGAGGTCCTCTTCCTTCTCTCCTGCGTGTAATCCTGGGGGGATTACCAAATCCATCTTGTATAGCCCCTTTCCCCTACCAGTGCCTGTGGTAAAAGGGGAAGAATCCTCAACGGCGATGGGCATATGGCACTCGCGCAGTGTCTTGAGGACCACTCGAACCATCCTGTTATGGAGGAAGGTTGAGGCGCCGGTCTTGGTGCAGACGAGGGAGTGGGCTCGGCTCAAGCGGTCCTTGCATGGTAACAATGCACCTGCACCACAAAGTTTGCCTGTGTTGCAGTCTGCTCGATCGTGACTCCCCAGTACACGACCGATTGACTCTCGATATAGATCAGGCAGCATTCTTTCATCTGCTGACAACCCTTGCGTTGTCAACCACGACAAAACTCCCTTGCCTTTCGCTTCCTCCAAGCGGATCAACGCCCTCTTCTTTGGCGTTTCCTCGCCTACTACTTTCTGCAAGTCTGTCTCCACCATGTGGCGCACTGCTGCATGAAGAGGTTTCGAAAGGAGAGCTTGGGCTCCAAAGACTTGGTAGTGTTGACCAAATTCATTTCGGCTGAAGGTAGACGGTGGTTGATGTTCTACGTCAGGGTTTCCATCTTCACGGGGTTTTCCCGCCTTCCCTGCTTCCAACAAGTAAACTCCTTTGAGGGCGGGGGTTAACTCATCACTTGTGGCAAGTTTAGCCCATGACTGCCCAACAGCTTTTTCAAGCTTCTCTTTGGTGATGATTTCCTCTAGCTTCTTCAGCGAGTCAATCAGAGCCAATCCTGTCGGTAGCTGGGCAAGCCGGGGTAGACATTGCTCAACTGTGTATCCTGTCGATGCTTGCACTGACTTGGAGAACACCAGCGCTTGCCCTGCCACAAAAGCCGATTCTCGAATGAGAACATTGCTCGTGATTCCTAGTCCTCCTTCTCGCATGGGTAGGTGCACCTGCGCCCGAGCTGTCCCTTTGAAGAAATCTACCTCCTCGCTCTTCGTCGGGTCTGCGCGTACCTCTTTGACCGTTGGTATTCTCATGCTGTCGGCCATCTTGCCAAGGACGATCTTACTCATTGCCCACATCATCATGTTGTCATGTATTTTTGCGGCAGAGTTGGTGATAGACGGTGCAATCGTCCTCAGCAGATGGAACAAACGTGGCACACCAGATAAACGCAGCAGTTGATAGCTGGCTTGAGGGTCGTCAAGCGTTGCTAGGCGGAGTATCAATTCCGCCGGGTCACCACGGGCGATTTTGGAAACGAAATTCCTCTGGAACTCCTCTGTTCCTACTGGGATCCCGACAACTGGCATGCCACCTTCAGCAACTGACAGACCAATTTTCGTCAATTGTTGCTGTTCGTCGTTTGTCAAAGAGGACATGCAAAGACCTTCCGGGAAAAGCACTTTGGATTTCGGGAGACTGAGCTCAATCCCTTTTTGGGAAAGACGTTCCTGAATCCAATTCGTTACAGCAGTGGATATGACCTGCATGTTCCTAGCCAAACCTGGTGGAAGATGTGCTTGGAGGTTGTCGACGTATCCGATGAGTTTGACTCCTGGCACTGGTGGCTTGTTGTTGAACTATTTCATGACATCAAGGAGTCCTACACAGAAGCCGAACCCTCCCAATTTGCAGCCTTGTTGAACTCCGCCCTGTGAAAGAACAACCTGGATCGAACCATCTTCCATTTTGAACAGAAGTTTCGCCTTGGTTCGAGCGTAGATGTTCCCGAAGTACTTCACCAAGTGTGGCGTATGAGTGGCCACTGCTGCCTTGGTTCGCTGCCAGGTTCTGGGTTTGTGGGGGGTAAGTTCTGGAGGCGTTTTCCATCTTGCAGCTTTTCGTTGCAGGACCATCCTGCAAATCGGTCTCCCTGCCGCTCGGGCGGTCTCGACGTGACCTGACAATCGAATTTAAGGTACCATCGAAAGGTAGTCTAACTCTTGTACCGGTGGCCTTTCCATGGTCGCCCCATCCCCGCAGCCAGCCACACAGTTTTTTCGAAATCCGAACTGCTTGAACACCCAGTGATATTGATTGTGTTTTCATTACCACTTTTGCTGAGTGCTTGGGGAAGAAACTGCTCGTGGTGCAACAATCACTGATATTTCTCTTCTTGGTTTATTTGCCATCATGTACATACATGTACTGCAACATAGATGCAGTCTATGCCCGCCCAAAACACCGGCACTATACCGGGCGTCAGCACTATGTAACAGGCATGGTCAGGGCTCTTGTCTGTACAGTATATATATATCAACGAGCTAACACTCCGAAGAACATGGTAGACTTGAAACAAATCACAGAATCAAGTGCTCAGTGTTCTCGATACTGTTCAGTAGATTAGTGGTGGGCCGTATGGCACCGACCTGTTGTTGCCTCTCTGGGAAACAGGAGGGATGAGATCGAACCTTTCCCACATCGTTGTTACTACGTAATACTAACCCCGCCCTTTTTTGTGAGCGAACCTCTTTGCGTATTTTCCACGTAGGCAAGAAGAACGCTCTACTTAAGGGGTAACCGGAACCTGGCCGATTGGCGGCGACACGTTTCACTCCCTTCACAATCTCCTGCGCGTGATTATTGTGTAGTGGTCACACGACGATATCGAACTGGTGGGTCCACGAGTTCGAACGCATCTATCTAATATGTTGTCTGTCCCCCGTCCCCCACCGTATCCTTTCCCATTTTTTGGGACATGTGGCGGAAAGTCACCCCGGGTCCTCTTCCACCAACACCAGGCAGCTCTCCCATCGCGTGGAAAGAGAGGGATTCATTCGTCCTTCCACAGCCAGACGTTGGGTAGAGGAGGTGGGACCCCTTTTCTTTAAACCCCGACATATCCCAAAACAAAGTGAAGCCTTCGGAGCCTGATGCAAAGCTCCAGCAACCGACGCAGCCTTGCATCTTTCTGGATAATGCACGCGCCATCTTGTATGAAAACATGGTTCCCGGAAAAGGCAAAAGCATTAAATCGAAAATCATGAACAAGGAAGGGGGGATCGGAGGAAAACTTCTCAAATATAGACTGTAGACCGAAAACGAGAAACCTCTTTCGAGTTTGTTGTTCTCTTCGCCAACTACGACGTAAAATTTACACAGATCCGTCGGTCAAAGCTGCCAGAAAAATAACGGACCACACCACAGCAAATCCATCCCCACACCCACACACACCAAAATGAGAACAAAATTACACTACTAGCTGTGACTACGTCATCGGGGAGCGTACACCGTTCAAGCGCGACATCCTGCGGGCCAGCAGATAAGGTCAGGTGGGCACTACTGTAGCAGCCCCCGCCTGCGAAAATGGTGGCTTGGACGAACAAGGCACATCACGAGGTGCTCGTGAACCACAATCAACTGCTGTAGAGTAACCAACCCCGCCCCATTCTCCCTCCCTTCCGCACAAGAAATCGAGAAAAAAAAAAAACAATAACACGAACTTGTTCGTTACGACCAGTACCTTCATTACGCTACTGAAAGCAGTCGAAGAGTCTCCCCCCCCTCCCCCCTCCATGTCATGGAGTGCCGTGACCGCCCCCCAACCCTCCCCCATTGCTGCTAACAGCAGCTCCTGGGAGCAGCAAGCCGGACGAGCTGTCATGCCCGCGGAGAGGGCTGCTGCCGAGACTCCGGCTATCCGCGTTCCCCCCCACCCCGCTACCGCTCCCGCCCCTACCCCTCGACAAAAGCCGCTGAGTGTCCGCGCCTGCCGCCGGCTGCTGCCTCCTTTCCCTCACCGTGCCACCAGATCCTCCAGCTGACAACGTGTGGCACGGGGCATCGGCGCGGGAAAGTGTTCGTCCTTCAGAAAGGGAAAAGGGACGGGGTTTACTCTTACAGCAGCAGAAGACCGCTGTGGTTGCTTGATCATTGCGTTGAGTGTTTTGTTTGACGGCCGTTGGCTACCGTATGTAGGTTGGCCCAAGATGCAGTACCACTCCCCGCTGTGCACCGAACTTCAAAGCTACCCTTCTCCTGACGAAGAGGGTGATGATGCCATACAAATGGCACGTTTTCGGAAAGCTTTCGATGAGGCGGTTCCCACGCCGTCATTTTGGGACCGTCACTGCAGTATTCGATCCAACTCTAAAAATCGGTCCAGGGGGGGGGGGGCGGTGGCATCTTATGCGACCTAAGAACATGTCAAGGAAAAGTCAGAGGAGCACGGTTGTACTGCTACTGCTGTTGGCGGCGCTTCCGAGCAACCGACACCATCCCCCAAATGCCGTGGTGCGAGATGAACGCAATCGTCCCAACACTACCTACACCACCAGTGACACGAAAAAAAATGCACTCGAAAGACAACCACCAACACCAACATGACACACACAAAATGCACCTCAACACAGCCACCTCGACCACACGAACACAAAAAAACGCACCTGAATAGAACTCGCCCATCTCGACGTCGCCGTTCGAGTCCAAGTCATCATCGTCCGACCCAGACCCTCCCCCCCGCCGCCCCCCCGCCGCCGCCCCCCCCAGAGCTCCCCCGGACACCTTAGCCACCGCCGCCGCCGCCAGCCCGCACGCGTCCTGGCAGCGGTAGCCCATGACCTCCTCCCAGATGTCCGCCGGAAAGGAGACTCTTGTCGGAAGGAAGAAGTCGAGGCGAAACCGCCCACCGTTTCGCGACGAGCCCCCGAATAGCTCGCTGCGTACCACCACCACCATCACAACCACAATGATTGAATGAACGCACGCGCGATTGATTAGATGCACGTACGGGGATAGGAAGCGCGATCGGAGGGATGATGAAACGAAAAAAAGACTCGAAAAAAACGTATCGGTGGCTGTGTTGCTGTGGCTCCTGAGGCTGGCAAACCACTGTTATCTATGGTCTTCGGCTTCCCCTTTGACTCTCTTGCCTCGGCGCTAATGCCCCTTGGCACGCTACTGTAAGACCCTTCTGCAGGGACACACCACACCTAGATACAGAGGTCGGGAGATTGCCAGCCTACACCACACCTTAAGCGTCGGGGGTGGGGGGGGATGGGGGTTCAACCAGCAGAGGGTACAAAATCAATCCTCTTGATACCTTCTGCGAGAACGACAGTAGCACTTGAACGAAACGAAACGCCCAAGCGTCGACAAACTCCACATGCACCCGACAGACTCACTTGATCTCTAGAGCCGGCTGCGAGTGCGTTTCTCCCTTGAGGCGGTCGATCTGCGTCTGATTGGTGGACACGACTTCCCACTGGTCGCACACCATGCACATGGTGAACAGCCCGAACAGCATCGCCTGAATCCATACGAGAAGAGCCGAGTCGTCCAAGCACGAGCAACAACAACGGAGGACGGCAATGACAGCAAAGAGCACGTGGATGGGGGAGAAAGAGGGACGTCAAATGCAGGAGAGAAGCTGAACGGCCGAGCTATGACCTACAGAAACAGGTGGATGCTAACACGCTGCAAAGGAGTAACAGGTCCACACGGCCCATGCGCATCGCTCACGGTCGTGGCGTGTACAGCAGTAACCCGAACAAAACCAGGAAAAACAACAACCACAAGCACCGACACTACAGCGAGGGCAGCAGCAACATCAACGAGCGTCCTCTTTTTTGTAGCCATCACTCCAGTCCCGCCCGCACACCGTTTCAGGTTACACGCTCGCTGTTTCCAATCATATTGCCGCTGTTTCTCGTTTTTTTTGTTTGTTGTTTGAGAAACGCATGAACGCGCACTTCCGTGCCTATCGATGCGTCGTTCTCCTGGTCTATGGATGCTTGCAACGTGAACAGCTGTCTGCGGTGCAAGCGGAGCATCTCCGTCTCGGCGGCGAAACAGTCCGACACTACATAAGAGGCAATAGGAAGTTCTTCCCGGCCGTTCCTACGCTGCTTCTGCAACTCGCCGATCGGCCACGAGGAGCCTTACTTCCATATGGAAGACCCTCGGGGCCGACTCCGCCAGGACAAGAAGATAGTCATGTCCATCTACCTACACGCGGACGGCGCCAAGTGCGTCGGCAAAGCACCCCCGAGGGCTCCGACGTCGGGTGCGCCGAGTGTGGCGGATGGACCGAAGACGTCCAAGACGTCTGGGCGCGGGCCAAGGTTCCCACATGTGCTGCGCAGAGTGCAAGTTTGACAAACGGGCGGACCTCCTCGCGGAGGTTCAGCTGCAAATTGAAAAAGAATCGGGCTCACGAACGATCCGGTCTTTTTCAAGTTGCAGCTGAACCTCCGCGAGGAGGTCCGCCCGTTTGTCAAACTTGCACTCTGCGCAGCACATGTGGGAACCTTGGCCCGCGCCCAGACGTCTTGGACGTCTTCGGTCCATCCGCCACACTCGGCGCACCCGACGTCGGAGCCCGCGGCGGGTGCCTTACCGACGCACGTTTTTGCTCTTTGGTTTGCGTCCTCAGCTGTTGTGCTCTTGTTGACGTTTTGCTTCGCGATTTGTGTTTACCTCAAGCCCCTCTCCCGTGTACATGACTGAGATGGGAAAAGTAGAAGGAAAGTACAGGGAGATGATTGAGGCATGGAACAGCGAGGAAAAGACGGCAGCCGTACTGGGGGATAGGAAGTGGGTTGAAAAGGCGGGAAGTGATATCGATAGTCTATAATAGATAGACTAGGGATGACATTATTGAGCCACCTTTGCCAAAGTAGGAAGGAACGATTGGCCATCGGTTATCTTCGGTCCTGTGGGAACAATGCTCCGTCCTCTCGAGGACGCGTGGTCAATGGTCTAATCGCTGAAACATGCAAAACATAAGAGTANCCCCCCCTCCTGTCTCCTATCTTGCCTGATGTTTACCACTTCCTTTCGTGCCATGTCTTCCGATCTTTCTCTTAAATATGCAGGAGCTGACGAATGACCAACCCTTAGCCTCCGAACACGTGCAAGACATGACGGCGAAGACTTTGCGCGAGCCGTCGCCGTACGTGGTCGATATTAACGGAAGGGCAACACGGAAGTCTGTCTTCTATTTGCGCCACAAGTGACGAAGCGCTTGGGGTTGGTGATTCGAATCGTTCGTTATTGTCGTGTTGTAATGAACCTAGTGTATATGGCAGAGACGTTCATTACAACACGGTCGGTCATCGTGGCAATCCTTTTTCGGTGGCTAGTTGGACTGTCTGTCTGCTCCTATTCGCCTTTTGAGTTCGTCGTTGGTTGCGTCTCAGAGTAGCACACGCTTCGAATGTTGCCGTGTTGACGGCATAATACACAGAAGTCTGTGATCTACTTGCGCCACAAGAATCAAAGCGAGAGCGGTAGGTGGTTCCAATCTTCTAGAATTAAAGGGAGAAAAAGGCCTGCATCGCGTGCGGTTTTTGGTAAGAATCGTGGTGGAAATGGTGATCTGGTGATAGCACTGCAATCGACAAACGACAAAGTACTTGGTTCGGAATCCTTTGCGCGGATAGCACTGCAATCAAGTGTGTTCTGCAAACAGTAACACGGACGATCCCTGTCTACTTTTAGGGATGAGGGCGTGTACAAACGTCCCCTTTTCCCTTTTCCCTTTTCTGGACAGGGAACAGGGAACTCGGAGTTGTTGTCTGATTGGCTAGCCACACAAGGAGTGGTGAAATATCAAAACAAAAGCAGGCAATAGAAAGACCGCCTATCTTGTCTCTCGCTCCCTCTCACCTCCACCAACAAGAACACCACCGTCATGTCCTTCTATGTTGTGCCTCTGTCTCTCTACCCACCAACCTTCCCTGTCCCCCCCCTCCCCCTCTATCTCTCACCTCCACCACAAGAAACACCACCGCCATGTCCTTCGCCGGGGAGTAGTGGCAAGCGCCGATGTTCTTGAGGCACGCGCAGAACCGCCACCCCGCCAGAAGCAGGGCGTACACGGAGATGACAAACACGTACGAAATGAACTGGATGAAAAACTTGTGGTTGCCGATGCCGACGCAGTTATTTACCCACGGGCAATGGTGGTCCATCTGGTGGCGTATGGGGCGAGCGGCGGGGTGTGGCAAAGGGGGGACAGGAAGATAGGGAGGCAGACACAGGGGGGGGGGGGGGGGCAAAGAGAGCAGCCAACGAGATAGATGACGGGCAGTTAGACCATATGTAGGAAGCGACCAAGCCAGAGAGATAGAGATAAAACAACGAGGTGCATAAATAGTAAGTAGATAGACGAAGAGAGNTGGGGGGGCAAAGAGAGCAGCCAACGAGATAGATGACGGGCAGTTAGACCATATGTAGGAAGCGACCAAGCCAGAGAGATAGAGATAAAACAACGAGGTGCATAAATAGTAAGTAGATAGACGAAGAGAGAGAGGGATACAGGCCGCCAGAGATAAGAGACAACGAGGGAGAAACTATGAACAAATCGTCGTATCTTCAAGGACCAAGCGGTCAGACGCAACACGACAAACAAGCGATTCCATAAAACCGCCCGGCGACGATGGGGACCCGTGTAGCTTCCACGCACGTTCCGCAGAGGTACATACGGTACGGAAATCGCCATGGTGGTGACGGAGTACGTTAGGTCGCACCGTGGTGCGCAGATGGGGCAGACGAAGCGTTAACGACACGTTGTTCACAAGGCGCGCAACATCATGTGGTCAAAATCACCACAGGCGACTGGAAGAAGCGGAACAACAACAAATTCCATCGAAGACTATCCGTGCAGAGTCGTTCGTGATACCCGGCGCGGTTAAGCATACTCACTGAAAAGACTCCAGCATATCCCGTTCGACTTTGGGTTATACAGTGCCCCAAGGTGTGTCGGATTGTTGGCCCTTTGAAAAAAAAGCGCCCACCTCCCGCGAAATTACACGGAACGCAGATATTCGTGCGAAAGCTCATGTGAGCAGCTTTCGAATGAGCCTACTTGGAGCGTGTTGGCTCTATCACCATCACAGCAGAAGGCACTTCACCCCAGCAAAACCACCATAGCTCAACAACTATGGCGTTCCAAACGCAGAACCGCGTATGTGTGGGAAGCTCTATTTCAGAACTACTTTGTGGCGGTGGAATAATCTCGGAACGTCGTGGGAGGAACCGCAGAAAAAAACAAAGCCGCGGAAAGAAAGAGAAACACACACAAACTTCTCCAGTGTTTTCGCCTCAACTTTTTGCTGTGAGGCAATACAGTATCTCGAACGGGTAGCTTTCTGTGAATTGGTGTATATATTTTTCCGAATACATGACAGCAACGGAAGGCGCAAACAAGACCTTCCAACGCACACGGCAGTCAACCCCCGCTGCTCCACAGGAACACCAACCAAAAGTTACGTGAACAGGCTCAACAAGTACCTGTCGAAACACCAGAGAGAAAGTGCGCCTGATTGGAACAAAAAGGCGTTCCTGAAACATAAACCACAACCCATGCTTGGCCGCAACGGATAACATGAAAGTGAACAGAGCCTGATTGAAACAAAATACATTCCCGACACAATAAGTACCTTCGCCTAGTGTTTGGTGTGTTGTTGGTCTCTAAGCTTTAAGGCGGGGCGATTCAGTCGGCACGCACCCCAAAAGCACAGTCGTTGGTAGAACAAGCCCTTCCGAAAGCACCTTTCTCCTACACATGAGACAAACAGATGGCCCATCCTGACCCTCCTCCAATACATCCCATTAAAACCAACGCTCGCACAATGGCAACGACCTCTCCCTGTATCGAAATACAGGAAGAATTCGAACAATCACACTAGTATCCGAATGGATTTCCGATCGGAGGTGATCCTTCTAATTCCGACCATAGTGGTCTTTAGTAAAATCATAAATACCTTGACGACGCATCGGCGGCAGATCGAGCAGTGGTGCGCGCGCACGGGCTTGTACGCGTTGCACTTGCGGCAGAACCGTCGCGAGTCCGCTGCGAAGTCTCTCCCGTTGCCGCTTGCGCCGCCCCCGCCGCCCGCCGCCTCCACCTCGGCAGCCGGCGGCTGACATCAAGAAAAAAAGAGTACAAAATAAAAATTGGCGCATAACAAAATTGAGATGGTACGTCACCACGGGAACGGCGTGGGAGTGGGCGTGGGCGTGGGCAAGGGTAGGGGGGGGAAGAGGTGTACTCATAGTTGGGCATGCCGTGAAGATATACGGTTGACCCCATTCAAGTGTACTTTGAACATCATGCCGACTAGTTCCGTCCAAGCAACGCGCCAGGCCCTGCGACAGCCCGGAAACGTTCTGCGCGCCCGCTTGCCCGGCCGGGTCGGGCTCGGCCGTTCCTTTCGACAGACGTGCGTACCTACACTGCGCCCACGAATGCCGGTACACCGCACAATTGATGAGAGCGTGTGTACTCGACACAGTTCCCGGAGATGCTCACGTCCCACATACCGTAAATGACACAGTATAAGAAACCCCGGTGGTAACATTTTGGGGTTTGAAAATATTACCACCCGGTCT